TGCTTAATTCTCCCCCTTTCTGGGTATATTATCCGAGCATCACTAATGGGCAGCATGATTCTGTCAGTTAACGTGATTGGTATCGTAATGGCTGCAAATTATGCTTGTGTGGGGTTTGAATGAGAGGCTGTGCAGTATATTTAGAAACTAGAAGCAAAAATTATCAATTAGGATGGAGGGCATGTGCGTTGTGCATGAGATGCCTGTGTTTAGAACTGTATTTCCGTGAGACTTGATGAGAACAGAAGTTGATAATGGTAACAGTGAAAGCAGGGATTCTCTTTTCTTTTGATTTGCATGATAAAGACTGAATTACTATTGTGGAGGGATTGTGTCCTTGAGAAGTAGAAGAAACCCAATTCAACAGTAGTAGAATATCATCCATGTAAAATGGATATGGATCACTACTCCATTAGTTTTCTTTTTTGCAGGTATAAAAACTTTCTTCTATCCTTGTGGGACATTTTCAAAGATTGCTACTGTTGCAACAAACAGGCACATATGTGCGTAAGCTAAAGATTAATATTTTTAGTTTTTGAGTAATGGATATAAATCTGAGATCTGCTTTGTTTGCACATGTTTCTTGCTTTTGCTAAGCTCGCTATAGAATTCAGGCAGATCAAATTTGGGTTCATTTCAGATTTTGTCATCTGGAAAAATCTCTTTCGTGTTTGTGGACCTTGAAATCCTGAAGTGATATTACATTGGATGAATATCCACGATCAAAGTTTTAGGACCGGGTTGAATTCCACTGCAACTTTCACAGTTTCTGCATGAGCTGTGATCACAAAGTTGTGATGCAGAGAAAACATTAAAAAAATCTCATTTCTACTTTATGACGATGAGGGGTATGGACGAGCTAAACACCTCCCTTAAGTCTCTGTTATAGAATTCAGAAGTCAGAAGGCAAAAATCTACAAACAACATATTGTGGTGCACCATGGCTAGTGGTAGCAAAAATGAGTATATTTTTGTTCAAAAAATAAGTACATTTTTAAGGTGAGAGAGATTCAATTCCAAACAATATTATGCTGTGAGTAATGTCCCATCATATCCTTCCTTTGAGATACTAAAAAGCAATTATTTATCATTGTTCTACTTAATAGAAAAACCTTTTGGTAGAAAAAACTTAATAGAAAAATAGAAAAATCAGAGTACATTTTTGTACTCTTCTGGTTCTTAATGTAAGACCTATGTAACTAATTTTACTATATTAAGAAAGTTAGGTAAGTAATTATGATAAATATGGCGTGTTTTCTCTTAAACAACCTAACCATCTTCCTTAATATTTTCCTTCCTCTCTTACTTGATTATGACTGAAGGAGTATTACTAGGAGTAATTTGGAAAAATTTGATAAATATGAGAAATAGGTCTTACATTTAGAAGCAAGATTTACTCGACAATTAGGTCGTATAGTAAGGATCGGAGAAGTATAATGAAAAAGCTATTGGGATGATGAAACATCAGAACACAACGTAACACTGCTGGTAACATAGCAAGGCTAATTTTAGGATTAAAAAATAGGAAAGGGAATTGCACCTTAACTGCTAATTTGCAAAATGTAAGCAACTATAACTAAGGAATTCGAGGAGAAAAACCAAGACAAAGCAGCAGTTTCATACAAAAAGAGGCTACATGGTCTTTGAATTGGAGTAGGATTAGAAAGAAGCATGAAGAGAAATTGGAAGAGAAGCAGAAAACAATTGACCGAACCACTAAAACCATGATCTGATGTTTGCCGTTCTCCTCTCTCAAAGAAGGTGCTGACACTGGACTGAAACATTGTTTTCTATGTCTTCCTCCCTTGCGTTTTCTCATATGGTGCATACAAAGCACTGCATAAATTTGCACATTTTGCTGCGTCACAAGTATTGCATGGTTGAACACTCTGGTGCTGCGCCACATGCCAATTACCATTATGACCAGTAGTGAAGTCATCACATCGTACTTTGGAGGTAGCATAATATTAGATGTGAAGGGATGACTTTGTCATGTAGTTTTACACTTCTATGCTGTGGAAACAAAATGAAAGGTTTTGTTGGGTTATGGAATGTAGACTAAAAATTGAGGCCTTTGCTTTCACTTTCGGATTACAGTAAGAGTTCTAAACGTTGCATATGTATTCAAATTTGATGCTACTCTCCTTTCGATCTGGTTCACTTTTAACAATTGCATCTTTATCTGTGGCTATGCTGTTAGAATCTGAGTCTTCTATTTTTCAGCATCTGCAGAAGCATGTAATGAGTTGATGGCATATTCATTAGTCTTGTCATGCTGTTGCTATACTTGTTGTATCAGGAGGAAGCTTCGGAAAATGTTGAACATCACAGTAAGACTGATTTCCTTGTGCATAAATATGATCGTCTCTTATATGCACACTATTTGAGGAATGAACTCATGCTCAAAACCCACTTGTTTAGCTTCTTTTAAGATGTGGTTGGTCGTGTTTTTAATTATAGAATTGAAGGCTCTGAAACACTGATTTTCTTACAGCGGACAATGTGGTCATGTTATTGTGAGGCATATACACTGCACCTTTTTCTTTTTTTTGGTTCTACTTTTTTTTGAGGTTTAAATAAGCATCGGGGTTTATTACTATCACTACCTACTTGTCTCTGGCATTCCCTGGTGTCTCCAAATATTTTGCTACTTACCAACATGCCTGTGCAGGGTGGCTACGTTGATGATTTTCTATCTCATTTAATGTGTTGCTGCTGTGCTCTTGTCCAAGAATGGAGGGAAGTGGAGATCCGTGGGTTTTGTGGTATGTCCTTCTCGTCTTGCTAACCATTTTGGCAACGTCGCCAATAGAATTGCTGTGAATTCTCTTTGTTCGGACTTTTAAGGATGCCTACCGTGCATGTGCCTTGGTTCCTTGTCTTTCTTTTTCTGAACCAGCCTGTTGAATGGTCCTATCTTCGCTTTATAAAATTTTCTCCCTGTTTCTCAACGGAATTTACTGCTGATTTTCCTTGGCATGGTTCCTTTAAGTTTCCATTCAGCACTGAAAACGTATACCATTGTGTAAACTGCATCGCAGGAGCTGACAAGACAAGTACAAGCCCTCCACCCCCACAGCATATGGAATCTTAATCTACATAGCATGTATTGTTTAGTGGGATTTGGATGCATCGCTTTTGTGTAAGTCCGTTCACAATTTGACTGACCCAGCTCGGCCTTGCACTTAGAACAGCAGATGTTTCTTGTACAGAAGTCTTGTAAATAGAATCTACCGTCGCATTAGAATTATCATAGACCGCGCCTTCGTTTGGCAAGAAAACACTTTCCTGTTGAAATTTGATGACCTGTTCTTTTCTCCCCCCCCCCCCGGGGGGGTCATATCATACAAATGCGAGGTTCGGTCACAATCCCCTCCTTCACTTTTTAATTATCTGAGCTACCTGCGGTCGAAAGTTTGCCCTTCATTGTGCTAATTTTGTTATATTTCTTGTGCTGCACTGACTTCGGCCCGGTGGCTTCCCCAACATTCTGAGATTGATGTTTTTTTTTCGGCCATCGATTGGTGGTTTTATTTATACTTTGATTCTTCCTTTCAATGATTAAAGAACCAGACCGGACTGGACGGTCGGACCGGTTAAACCGTTAGCCGAACTCGTTAACGGCTTGGTTTGAACCAAATAACCGTTCACATGGTTGAGCCGGATTGGATCGGAGTTGAGCTGTCATTAAGCCGGGAACTGGAGTTGGATCGGGAACCGGAACGGTTTTTTAGCCTGACTGAAAAAATACTAAAAAATAAACAAAAAGAAGAAAAATAAAAAAATTGACTCCCTTAAATATCCTAATATATTTTTAGACTATTCATAACCATATAGTATTATTTCATTGAAAATTTCATATATTGTGGTGTTAAAACTGTGAGTAGCTAGCCTTTTTGTTTCGATATCTGGTCTATCTTTTAAAACAATATTTTGATTTGAATGAATTGATAATTTTTAATATCATTAAATATTTTAAACATACATAAATTTAAATATATAAGGTTTTAGTTCATTTTCAATGATTTCATTGTAATTTTGGATTATTTAAATACATTTCTAAATTATTTAATAATTTGATTATATATATTAATTATATGTATATAATATTGTCTTAAATTAATTATTGTGTTACTGATCTGACCGATTGAACTATGATCCTTAATCTTTCATGTTCGACTTTCAGTTCGACTTTTAAAACATTGCTTTCTTCCTGGTTGATTTTGTCGTTTATCTTGACTTCTGTTTTTTTTTTTTTTTTTACCTGAACTTATTTTGAGGATGCTACATAAAAATTTCTTTTATGAAAATAATGTTATAAAAATATTTCAATTTAATCAGTATAAAAGTTTGACTATCTTTTTCTTTAAGCTAAATTTTTAATATACCCCTCCAGTCATAAATTTAATATTTATTTTGTATTTAAATTATACTACAAAATTAATGTTATATTTACAACCGCAGAATTATATACCTATCCACTTGATTGATTTAACGAACTGAATTTTTTAAAAATAACATTTTTATATATAAATAAATTGATAATGAGTTCTCAAGTTTGATCAAAATCAAATTTAGTACAAATGATATTAGGTTAGATTAAACTAAAAAGGAAGTTTCCAAAATTGAATCCAAGCCCGGACTATATGGACGTCTAATCCTCCTATTAAATGGAAAATTTTGATTTTATCATGTCTGCATTGTGAACCGTCTTCGGCCGAAGAAGAGATTACGAGGCGATTAATCAGTGAAATTTGAACACGTGTAAGGCCGGATGTCTTTCTTGGATAAAACAGGATCCACTAATCACCGTCAATAGAATCTTGAAGCTTCTAGTAGCTCGATAAATACTGAAGCCCGTACTCTATTTCTCCGTAGATCATATACTAGTTGGATCCGGATTAGGGCTAGGGATTTGGGCGTTCTCCGTCTGGCTCTGACGACTCGCACATCTTACCCACACCATGCCGTCGATCAAGTGGAAGATGGGGAAGAAGAAGATGTCGAAGAAGATGTCGAAGAAGATCACCTTGAAGAGCTCCGATGGCAAGCCTTTTGAGGTTGACGAGGCAGTGGCGCTTCAGTCTCAGACTATTAAACATATGATCGAGGTCGATTGTGCCGACGGTGACATCCCTCTGCCTAATGTGACCAGCAAGATCTTGGCTAAGGTCATCGAATACTGCAAGAAGCACGTCGATGATGCCAATTCTGAGGAGAAAATCTCCGAAGATGATCTCAGGGCTTGGGATGCTGATTTCGTCAGGGTTGACCAGGCCACGCTCTTCGATCTCATTCTGGTCAGTTAGTTTCCCTTGAAATGTTGTATTGTAGGCTTTGTTATTTTTGTTTGCGGTCGTTTTGGTTCCTGTCCTGTGAGATAATGTTGCAATAGTTAGGGTTAGGGTATTTTGGAATTGGGGGCTTTGTTTTATTCACATCACTGGGTCGGTATTTTCCTCTCATGGTAGAGTAGTGTAACTAGAACTTTTCTGCCGGTATGGAACATATATGTGTGCCCTGATTAACTATTAGTTCGATGCAGCGCTCCAAGCTAACCCTAGTTTCCTGCAACGCAGTCATATTGGTTGAGCTTTTGTTCGGTTTTCTGTTTGTTGAACTGCCAAAGATGATTATGAATATTGGTTTTCGTTTTTTGCTCCTTTCCTCAACGTTTGTTCATCTGGGCTATGCATTTGCAACCATTACTAAGCCTACTATGTTTGATCCTAAATAACTGTGTTATCCATCAGGTTACTTGCCATGTTGAAATAATTGCACCATGAGTCCTTATTTTCGAGGTCCATCTAATATTATGCCCATATGTGGAACTGTCCTTGAGAAAGACTGCGGCTGTTTACCTTCTCCCTTTGTTAAATATTCCTTCGATGTGATTCTTGTCTAAGCACTTTCATAAGATAATGTTTGCTTTATTTGCATGGTGTTCATGACATTTTCTTTTAGGCCGCAAACTACTTGAACATCAAGAGCCTGCTGGATCTTACATGCCAGGAGGTAGCGGACATGATCAAGGGACAGACTCCTGAGGAACTTCGCAAGACCTTTAATGTTAACAATACTCCTGACGATGAGGAAGAAGTCCGCCGTGAAAACCAATGGGCATTTGAATGAGTGATGATGTATTAAGCTTTCTGAAGTTTCAATAACTTGCTATGGTTGTTTATGATATACTTAGAGCCATTGCAGGCTTGCAATGGTAATTATTACTGCATTACCATAAAAGGAATGTTTGGTTAGACTTATTAATGATAATAAAGATTGCACTGGTAATGAGAATTGCACATTTTTTGGTAATGTTTATTCCTAAGGGAGGGCCTATGAATGCTGATTACAAGGCTGCAATCCGTTTTAAATTGTCTATTTTGCCCATAAAAAAAAACCCTCTCCCTCCTCTCGTATGAAGAACCATAATCTCTGCCTTTTTTTGCCATCAGTGCCACCGCAGTCAATACCTTTGTCTTCTCCGCTACCTGCGATTTCTTCATCTTCATCTCCCCCACTGTCATCCACTGCTTCCATCTCCAGTAAAGTCTATGACATCATCTAAGTTCAAGGAAGAAGATGGTGATGTTTACAATATATTGAAAGAGTTCTAAAAGAATAGATTAAAGTGGAGGATAACAAATCTGCGTTTCTTTGCCACCGCCGACCTCTTCATCTACCCCACCAGCAGCCTTTTCCATCTTCATCTCGGCCGCCTCTTCCCTTTTCATCTCTCCCACCACCATCGACCTCTTCTCCCTCTCCATTAATGTCTGCGATGTCTCCTGAGTTCAAGGAAGAAGAAGATGATGCTTGTTAAATAATAGATCGAGGAGGGATCAGAACAGATCTACCTGCATCTTCTTCTCCATGAGTGACCTCTTTCCTCTTCATCTTCCCATCAGCGACATCCTCTCCCTCTCCATTGAAGTCTGCATCTTCAACGAAGTTTAAGGTAGAAGAAGAAGATAATGATGCACTGTACTTTCTTTCTCGTTGAAACTATTCCTTTTGGGGTGGATGATGAAAGGAAGGTGTCGGAGCATGGAAGGAAAAGAAGGCATTTTAATGGGGACGATTTAGTAATTTCATATATATTTTTATTTAGTTTAATATAAAGAAATAACATTATTACCAACCTTCTTAATATCATACCAAACATGCTGATGGTAATAAAGACTACATCACATTGAATTACATTACAATGCATTGCACTGGGAAGGGAGGTTGCAATCAAACCAAACGAGTCCTTAATATATTTTGCTGAATCTTGTTGGCGGCAGCACAGGAGGACCAGCAAATCCGGTTCGAGTCGCGTCACAAGGACACTGTCCTTGAGAGATATTCCGCAACCCCTCGGTGTAACAGGCAGCGGCACTCCCCAGGATCAAACGAACCCTTCCTGCGAAGCAAGGTAGCAGAACAGCGAAAGCAATTGTAACAAGCAACGGGAGAGAAGAGGAAGATGATGGAACAGTGTATATATCACGCTGTCTGGACAGTCCCTTATATAGGCGCGAATGGCCACATCACCGGAGGACACATCCCTCTGTTTCGCCGAGCGGGTACGACCGAAGCAACGTAAGGTTCCGTTGGAGACGGAACAACACGAACGTTGGTGCACACAACGTTCGTCTACACCCCGCGAGACGCGTCCGGTCGGCCACAAAACGAAACAGCAAGCCTCTTGACTTTTAACAGGTCCAAAAGAAGGTTTTTCTGGTAAGCATAATTTTATTAAAAAATATTCAACAAAGTTTAAAATAATTTTCGTAAAATGAGGCTTTGCCGCGTCTAATTCACGCGCAGGGGGGGAAATCGCCGGTTTACAACTGCGTTTCCCTCCTGGTGGCCTGTTGTTGTGTGCGCGAGGCCCACTTCCCTCTTGGCCCATTTACCCCCCCAAGGATGCTTGATCTCATTTATACACTTAGACTTCTTCTCATCTTTCCCATGTGGGACTTTATTTGACACACATATTGCATTATTTCACAACAATCCCCCACATGTGTCAAATAAAGAGCCAGAGTTACACACATGGGCATAATCATTGTATCTAGTGGTTCTTGCGACTATGAACTAGACCTAGACTGATAACACTTAGTACACAGAGATGCCAGTGAAGCCTGCTTCTATGAACTGTCATCTCTTCGGCGTGTACCAGAGGCATTAATAGTCAGATTATACCCCCACATTTCCGCTGTTAACGACGGTTTTGCGCGTTATAACGGCCGTGCGCGTGCCTGGTGCATAACGAATGCTCTAGAGATTTTGCCATGATCTCATAGGAGCGGCCCCACTCCACATTCGTAGAGGTGATTTCATTTGAGTGTACCTGCACTGAATACACCATCCCGTAGGATTTGAAATCATTAAGAGCTTTGCTCAACCCTCTAATATGCAATCTAGCACTTTCTCGCACATCATAGGAAGGGACTAGTAATTTTGGTTTAGTGCTAGCAGTACTAACGAGCGACTTGTTCTTACCCATTGAACCTTCTTCATGGGATCACCAATCACAAAGGTTGGGTTGCCATCGCTGTCGTAATCATACTGGCTTTAGTCCCATTCCCCTCGATGTTTCGATAATTTGTTTCCTCCCTAGGGGTTTTGTTAATGGATCTGCTAGGTTCATTTCTGACCTCACAAAATCGATTGAGATCACCTCGTCCTTTAGCAGCTGCCTTAAAATATTGTGTCTCAATCGAATGTGTCTGCTTTTGCCATTAAATGTTTTATTTTTTGCCGTGGCTATTGATGCCTGGTTATCACAGTGTAATGATATTGATGGCGTTGGCTTGTCTCCCAATGGGATATTTGCTAAGAAGTTTTTCAACCACTCAGCCTCTGTACCAGCCAATTCCATAGCAACTAACTCAGAATCCCTTGAGGATCGAGTTATGATGCTTTGTTTGGCTGACTTCCAAGTGACAGCTCCACCACCAAATGTAAAAACATAACCGCTAGTGGACTTTGTCTCGTCTGAATCTGAGATCCAATTAGCATCACTGTATCCTTCTAATATAGCGGGAAATCCACTATATAGTATACCATAATTCATGGTACCCTTCAGATATCGTAATAATCTCTTCAGAGCTTCCCAATGTTCACTGCCTAGACAGTGAGTATATCTGCTCAATCTGCACACAGCATATGCTATGTCTGGCCTGGTATAATTCATCAAGTGCAACAGACTCCCAATAATCTGTGCATACATAGATTGAGCAATCGGATCTCCTTTATGCTTCTTTAGATGCACACTAGCATCATAAGGGGTACTCAAAGGAGTTTCATCATAATGTTCAAACTTTCTCAGTATTTTCTCAACATAATGTTCCTGAGAAAGTAAGATGCCATTTTCATTTCTTGTGATTTTAACACCTAGGATTATTTTTGCTTCACCCAGATCTTTCATATCAAAATTTGAATTAAGAAACATTTTTGTTTCAAGCACAACATTCATACTGGTTCCAAAAATAAGCATATCATCCACATATAAACAAATAATCACACAATCATTATTCACAACTTTAGTATAAACACATCTTTCTACTTCGACAGTAGAGAAACCACCACTCATTAAAACTTGATCTAACTTCTCATGCCATTGTTTGGGTGCTTGTTTTAAGCCATATAGAGATTTTACTAACTTACATACTTTTTTTCTTGCCCAGGAACAGCACACCCTTCAGGTTGTACCATATAAATTTCCTCTTCTAAATCACCATTTAGAAATGCTGTTTTAACATCCATTTGATGTATAAATAGCTTATGAATTGATGCTAAAGCAATAAGGATTCTAACAGATGATATCCTTGTAACAGGAGAGAATGTATCAAAATAATCAATATTTTCCTTTTGGGTAAAACCCTTAGCTACAAGCCGTGCTTTGTATTTATCTATGGTTCCATCAGGAAAATATTTTTTCCTAAAGACCCATTTGCAACCTATAGGTTTTGCTCCTGAAGGCAAGTCTACCAAAACCCAAGTTTTATTTTTATTTAAGGAGTCTATTTCATCTTTAATTGCTTCTTTCCAAAGCTCTGCATCCGGAGAAGAGATTGCTTCATAAAAGTTTCTAGGTTCATTTTGTACTAAAAATGTGTAAAAATCATCTCCAAAGGATGTTTCCTTTCTCTGTCTTTTACTTCTCCGTAATTCTTCAGTCAAAACTTGATTTGTTTTTTCTTGGAAAGAGGCAAAAGGATTTTCAACACCTTTGGGAATATGCTCAACTTTTAATGGAAAAATGTTTTCAAAAAATTCAGCATCCTTTGTTTTAGTAATTGTGTTTTGATTCAAAACTAAAAAACGATAAGCAGCACTTTGTTGAGCATAACCAATAAACATACAGTCAACAGTTTTAGAACCAATTTTCCTTTTCTTAAAATCAGGCAATAAAACTTTTGCAAGGCACCCCCACACTTTCAAATATTTAAGATTAGGTACAAAACCTTTCCACAACTCATAAGGTGTTTTGTTAGTTTTCCTATGAGGTATTCTATTTTGTAAAAAGCAAGCAGATAACAAAGCTTCACCCCATAAGTTATCAGGTGCACCAGAACTCACAAGCAAAGCATTCATCATCTCTTTTAAAGTTCTATTTTTCCTTTCTGCAACTCCATTAGATTCAGGTGAGTAAGGAGGTGTTACTTCATGTATTATTCCCTCTTTTTCACAAAAGTCATTTAGTAATAAATATTCTCCTCCTCTATCAGATCTAACTCTTTTAATTTTCCTACTAAGTTGATTTTCTACCTCTGCCTTATATAAGATAAATTTTTCAAAGGCTTCATCTTTATTTCTTAACAGGTACACCTTAGTGTATCTAGAAAAATCATCAATGAAGGTAATATAGTATCTTTTACCACATCTAGTCTCTGTTTGTTTCAAATCACCTAAATCAGTATGTATTAATGACAATAACTCAGTCTCTCTTTGTGTAGGAAAATGTGATTTTTTAGTCATTTTGGTTTCTGCACAAATTTCGCATTTACCAATATTATTACTTTTAGTTTCAGAAATTAATTTAAGGTGTTGCAACCTTTTGATGTATTTCCTATTAATATGCCCTAATCTAGCATGCCAGAGATCATAAGAATCAACCAAGTAAACAGAAGAAGATGCATTATCATTCATATCGACACTCAGTACAAAGAGACCTTGATTACAGTAACCCTTCCCCACA